CCTCTCCACAAGCCTATTATCAAAGCCATTATTACTTGCTTGCTAATTGTAGTCGTGGTTTGCAAGGGCACAGATTTAACACAGGACACATAATTTGTAGGATTATTTTGTAATATTCACCCAAAAAATCAAATGCAAAGTCAAGTGCAAGAGGTCTAGCCATACACTAGAGACCCAAGGAATCCAGCTGAGGGCCTGGATCCCACAGCAATGTTCCACACAAGTCCAGCTGAAGGCCTAGAGCCCCGGGAAGTGTTCTCCATGAGTCCAGCCAGTGGCCTAGAGCCCACTGCAATGTCTCATGCTTGCCTGTATGGAGGATCTGGACCTAAGGCCCAAAGGGCAGTGGTGGAAGCTAGAAAACCTGCACCTGTGGGGTGAAGGATCTTTGCCATGAGGCTGAGGGATCTGCACTGGAGCCAGGAAGTGATGCTCATGGTGAAGATCAGAGCTCCCCGGACAAGAACAGCAGCCATTCCCCACGACAGAAAGGACCAGAGCTCTGAAGACAACAAGAACAGCCAAGCTCATATTAGGAAAACTAACCACAGCAAGCTTCTCCTAGAAAATCAACAGCCAATGATCTCCCCCTCCAGTTCTCTTTTTTTTTTTCTTTTGGTACTAGGGATCAAACTCGGGACCTTGTGCTTGCACAGCAGGAGTCAGAACCACAGAGCTAAATCCCCGGCCCTCCAGTTCTCTTTTAATGCCACTGGCAACAATCCCCAGGTGAGTCTTCCATGCCCAGACCATATGATTCAGTTTAGCTGGGTGTTCCAAGTTGAGCATTAGTTAATCCACCACACTAAAGAATCCTACACTGTGAGGCTGGCTGAAGCCATCAAGACAGTCACTTCAGAAATGGATATGAAGACTCCGGATTTGCTTCCAGAGGGGAAAGAGAGACAACCTGAAATAACATCAGGTGATTCCACAGCCAGTGACATTGCTTCACTGTTACCACAGTCCCCATCTCTGGCCTAACTGCTTCTATCTGCCTCTCACCTCATCACCTCTGGCCGTACCCCTCCTTTGTCCTTGAGAAAGTTACTTTATCTCTCTAGGGTTTAAAAATGTCATGAATAAATAAGACTATTTCCTGCCTCCCAGAACTATGACATGATTAAATGACAACTAATGTGAAAGCACCTAGCATGATGTAAGTTTATAATGTTTAAACGAAGTAATAACCCATCAAACACCACTTTGGGGATTTAGATTTAGTGGCTGCATTTTTTTGATTCTACAGTGCTAATGACTTTCTTCATTTGCTGTTCCATAAGTGCTGCTGAAGAAATATATTGGATAAAACACATGATCAGCTCCCTTAGATATACATCTGTATACTGTAATTTAGGGTTCTATAATTAGCATGACAAATTTAGTGTTATTCAGTTTTACTTCAAGATAAACCAGATAAATTTTAATTACATTTTTGTGTACGTATAGTTTCAAATAACATAAATATGTATGCATATGTTTACATTTATATCTGCAATACACAATCTAATAGTAAGTCCTACATTTCACCAGCTTGCTCTCAAAATGGGATTCATTATCAATTGGCACATGAATATCTGAAAAAATGAGTTACATATATATAAATATTTGCTAAGATTCAAAGTACTAATAGTTTTCTGGACAAATATAAACATGGCTATTCATGAATGAAGATATATTGTGTATAGTATTTATATTATAATTTTCTAGTCAATAACTAAATTAAACATTATTGAAACCTAATTCCAATGAAAAATCTCCTTACACATTTTCTCAATCTTGTAAAATTATACATATTTCTAATTTTTGCAATTTCAATAAAACTATAGTTTTAAAAGAATAATTTATTAAAATTTTTGAAGTATTCTATTACTTTTATTCTGATGACAGAAAAGAATATTTTCTTTGACTTGATACATAACTGAAAATATATATACAGTCTCATTTTCCACCTTACAACAGCCATGAGGGGGAGGTATTCACTCAACATATTTACTGAGTGTTTGCCACATGATTTAGGTATGGGGGCAAGATGAATAGTAGCTCACATCCCAAGGGAAGAAAAAATCTGATAAGTTAATTATATATGTGCACAAATGGTGATGACTTTTGTTGACGAAGGTAAATCACAGAAAAAAAAGAAAAGGAAAGTTTATGGCTGATCAATTTTCTACCACAGTTTGGGATAAAGCAGCAGAGGAGCCTCCTGAGGATGGGAAAATGTGGCAAAATGATGACTGGAAATTCCTGGGAACCTAACAGTGACTGACACAGACCGAAATAAAGCCTATAATGCAATCCCTAAAGAAGGAAAGTTAGTTCTGGAGGATTAAGGCGAGACTGATGATGAGTGGATGGCTATCTGGTGGAGTGCTGGCAGGCAGGCACTCGGACGTGGAACAGGTCAGTGTTCCTCTGTATTCCAGTTTATTGTCAATGTCTCTCTCTCTCTCTCTCTCTCTCTCTCTGTCTTTCATAGCTTAGTCTCACTTCTGTCCAAATCTGTTTGAAACTTAGGTATTATCACAACAATCTCTGCCTCTTAAATACCAAATATTGTATAGGGTTTCTAACTAAGGAATAAAACACACAGAGATAGAGAAGATTGGGAGGTTATGTAGATTTGGAAAGTATTACTGCTCTCAAAAAAGTTTAGCCTGTTGTGTTCTTTTTTAAAAAATAAAAGCTTCAGGGGCCGGGGCTTTAGCTCAGCGGTTCCACCGCCTGCCTTGCAAGCACAAGGACCCGAGTTTGATCCCTGGTACCAGAAAAAAAAAATAAAAATAAAAATAAAAGCTTCATTAAATTGCATGTGAGACATATTTCTCTTTTAACATTAAAATTTAATTCACAATTGTTTATAAATTCCCACATTGATACATAAAAATCTGTGGTATTGCATTTTACAGAGATACAATTACAAAAGCATAGAGGTATGCATTCTACCTGTCATTTTTCTACAAATGATTTAATTAAACTGTATGTAGTATGTTCATTTTACCAGGAACAAAGGGAAGAGCAAAGCATAGTTCTGACCTCATGATACGTAACTCATGGCAGACAAACAGCACAGAATAAGTATTTACTGGATATGCAACATTGTGAGCCAATCTCTTGTATTAGTAATATATTATGAGAGCATTCAAAAATGAACAATTATTTTTTAACTTTGGATGTGGATAAAACTGATTATTACTTCATGAAATAGGTGATAGTATGTATAACTGAAAGACAGTAAAATAGTGCCAATTTTCCAATTATATACATCCAGACCAGAAACAGAAAAAACATGTGGAGTACATCCCCAAAATTCGTGGAGGTTACGTTCCTAGAACACCTGCAAATTGTGAAAAACAGCAAATTCCATATATGGAAAGAAAATTCCTATAAATGCCTTATTTTATAGTTTAACCTCTTAAATATGCTATGTCTCCTGCAGTTATGTAATGTAAGGCTGTATTAATAAACACTTAGAAGTCATCTTAGTGATCTTTTGGTGGCATTTTAGGGATCTTGGGGCTTTAAAAAGAACAAAATCGAGAACTCTGGAGACAGCTACACAAGGTACAGCAACTGGATATGACGTGGGAAGGCTGGTGTATCTGCCTGAGATGGGTTGCAGGGCAGCAGCCAATCAGCAACAAGGAGAACTGAATAACACTCTCCGATTGGCTACTTGCAAACCTCCCCCTAAAAAAGCAATTGCAGAGGATATTTGTGGTTTTCATTAAATTTCGGGGGTTTCCAAGAACAATTACTAGTTTCAAAGGAAAAATCTGTGAACCACTGAGGCCGTGAACTCTGAACCACAACTTTGCAGGGGGCTCCTGTAGTTTCACATGACTACAATTTTACAGTGATCTATGTCCCTGAGGTATACATTCACATTTCACTTTCTTTTTCTCTGGCTAGCAAACTTATCCTTCATATTATGGCTGGATAATTAGTATATCTAATAAATATGTAGATCCAGAAAACCAGTAATCTAATATTTTAATCTCTCCGTTGAAACAAAAGTATATGTGCCCTCTTTGTAAGATTGTCTTGAAAATTAAATAAAATCGTATGTTTAAGAACCTATCCTACTGTCACATAGAAATTCCAATAAAATTTAACTATTGTATATGATAGCTATGAAAAAATTTAACAAAAATATAAGAAATGTAAATGTCAATATCATGTATGACTGTAAGGAAGAAAGTCAGTTTTATTTATTTCAATCTCTTTTAAATATAACTGGTATAAGAAATTTTACAAGTTGAAAACATTTTCTTCCACAATCAGTATGTCATTTCTTGTACTTGCCAAGAAAAGTAAAATGTATTATTAATTTAATTGAACCTAAAAAAATAATTCTTGCATATATTTTAAGCATTACGGTCTATTATCAAAATGAAAGCAATAGTCTGATTTATTATAAGTGCTTATATGATTTATAATGTGACTATTATTTTATAATTGAAAATGTTTAACATGAAGTGTTTTCCCAGCACATAATTTTAATTTCAAATCAGATGACTTAAAATTATGTCTTTGATGAAGTAAAAACAGTCAATAATTTGTATGAAACCCAATTTTTGGCTAACTTACATAAAGAGAGATAGGTATAGACAGATGTTTTATCTTTATGGCAAACTCCAGAATATGATACTTTATTTTTAGCTTGAAATATCCCAAATTTAAACTTACTACGTAAATAACACAAATTATCTGACGAGGTCTTAATCTATTTATTATATAGGTCTATTTCTATTACTGCATGCAAAAATTAAGTACATATTTTATGTGGCCCATCTTTGTTCTTCCTTAATAAATATTTAATTCCAACAATAGTAAATTTACAAATTTTCTGATATTCCTTGTTTGAAAATATGATGCTTTATAAAATGGAAGTCACTGAAAATGTTGTAAAATAAGTGCTCTTAAGTAACAACCTGAAAACCAAAAGCTTAAGTTCTAACTGGTAGAGAGGACAGATGGACTCAGAATGTGGACTGTACCTTATGTCGCAATCTTGGCAGAGGTTGATAGAACTTAAGGCCATATCCAGCTTCTTTCATTGGCCTTCCTTCTGATTCCAGAAGAATGAATCCAACAACCAAAATGGCTGACCAGCTCTGAAACATCTTCATTGATTCTCACCTGTCAAATTTAAAATGACAAGTAATCAGAGAAAATGCATCATATACTGAAGAAATATATTGAAATATTCAATCATATATAAATCTTTACAGATCTCATTAAAATTTTGCTAGTAGTTGCCAGCTGAATATGTGGTAGGTAATTATATCCAAATAAAGATTATCACTTTGATCATCATAGCAAATATTATTTATTTTTTATTCAGACAGCCTTACAAAGTACAAAGTAAGAAATACAGGCCTCATAACAATGTATTGGGGAAAAAAATGAAAGATAGGTCATAAGAAAGCGAAACTGTAATAAACTATGGTAAATTTTCAAGGTCTCCCTACCTAATACAATTATTAATATGTTTACATATCTTCATCTCCTCTTCAATGCGTTTGATGAATAAATCCCAAAACAATTTTATCTGTTAGAATTTACTGGTAAAGATTCCTGAGAGTTTAACAAGACAGTCTTTTGTGGTGGGTGCTCAACAAATAAACTGAATAAAACAGATGTTATGCGGATAGATTAAAAAAATAAATTTTTCCCAGTAGTATTTAAAAGGATTCTTAAATATTGCTATACAAGTGCCGTAAAGTACTAAAAATCCTATAATTTCCATTGCTCTGTATTTTAGAAATTATAAAATGTTAAACTTATTATCGTCTATACAATAAGAACTTTTCAAAACATACAACTCTATGCTTTGAGTTCAAATATATTCCACTCTGCCACCTTCAACCAACACACCTCCTTCTCTACGAGAATGGAATGAGTAGAGTTCTTTTCCTAAGCCAATTTGTACGTCACGTTCTTGAGAAAGCTAACAGATCAATTAACCCTGTTCTTTTTTCTCTTCCCTTAAGTTCTTTTATTGGTACATTTTAGGTATTCAATTCGTTT